GGAAGGGAAAAGAAAGTAGGCACGACGCAAAGAGGAAACCTGAATCAAAAGTCAGCGACGAGGACGGAGACCGACCTCAAAGCCGTCGCCCGCTCCTTCTCCTTATCAAACGCTCGCTAATTTTTCCGCAACACCCCCGCTGTGATTTGTGTCATCGTCCGCGCGTTCGTCATCAGGTGAGAAGAAGAGCGAGTGGGCTCTCTTTGATTCCCTCGTGTATCCATAGCAACCAGCCACCCTTCGACAACAGAGGTCAGCCCCAGAAGGTTTGGTTATAAGCAAGCAAAGAAAAAAAGAAAAAAAAGTTATTTACATGAGAGTGCAGCTTTGATTAAACTAGAATTCCTCCCATTCCTTGAAAGCAGCACTGTGCCTGCTTTAGGGACGAGTTCTCCAGGATGCAGACAGGAGACAGGTTGTTTTTTTGTTTTTTTGTTTGTTTTTACAGGATGGTGCTGAGGATGTCAGTTTGTTTCTTATGTCTTTTTACAATGCAAGCTGCACAAACAAAAAAAATCTAAATAAAAGAAAATAATAGAAAAACTTACTTTTAATTTAGGTGTATGTATGCCGTGGAAAAGTTTTATTTATTTATTTTTTTTTTTTTACAAAATCCTTGTTATAATAATAGCCACTAAAACTTAAAATGATTGAATGATTGTTTTTACATGAGTTTCTCAAAACATAACCTTTATAATCGATTGTCTTTTTCTTTCCTGGGGTGTAAAAACGGCGTAACACAAACACTAGACTGGATGAGGACCCATATATAAATCTTTTCACCATACACAGGACCAAAAGAGATGGAAAAAAAAAAGTAAAAAATCTCCAAAACTAAACCATTAGACTGTAATATCATCACCTGTAGTTTCCCAAGTGCTACTGGGACTTTAACTAGATTTATGTTCAGGAATCTGTAGCTGGTTCATGGTTGGTTCACTGACTGTGAAAGCAACGTCTACAAGATTTAAACAGGCCTTTCTGAAGTGCACACAAGCATACACAATTGCAAAAAGTATTCAAAACAATGTTTGTAAAGGAGAGTTTACTCAGGCAGAAAACGGGGCATTCGTGTGCAACTCGTTCAAAGGAAGTAGAGAAATCTGCAGAGTGACGTGAATGAGCTTGTAAAGGTCTGAAAATAAACGGCATTAAAAGCAGGACAGACAACAAATGAGCTAAAAATACCCTAAGAATAAAATATGACTACACGTTGTTCTGATTTCATAATGTGTGGGACAGTATAGAGATCAGATCCTCTGGGTTTTTATTTGACCACATCAGTGGGCTGCAGGGGGGCCTCTCCCTGCTCTGCTGACACAGACAGATGCTTGGATGAGTAGCTGGTGTGCGGACGTCGGATCGCTTTCTGGGCCAGCCTCTCGGCTCCTTAAAAGAGGACACAGCAGCAGATGTTCGCTGCAGAGTAATCCCAAACTGCAGCGCCGAAATGGCACAGGGTAGTCTTCACCTTCTTAATGTTGATTTGTTGATTTCGAGAGCTAAATGTTTCTACGTCCCTTGAGGTTGTTGGGTTTTTTTGAAGTGTACAAAGTAGGGTGCATTTCTTTTTGCATTTGGTGGATATGTTTAGGAACTGAACAAAGTCACCAGCAGAGCAGTTCTTTGTTCCCCCTGTTGTAACATGAATGAGATTGTAATATACAGAGAGACACACAGTCTCTTCAGCTCACAACGCAGGTTTTCTGTAGGATTTAGGCCTGGAGACTGAAACGGCCATGGAAGAAGGTCGACCGTGCGAAGCATTCCTGCGTTAAATCGGCTGCATGTTTCGGACTCAGTAACGATACATCAGAGTTCTTGCGGTCACGGAGTCCAACATGGTTCAACGGGGCTTTTTGAAGAAAAACAGCCGTCACAAATTGGTCGCCATACTTAACGGTGGGCCTCTTATGCTTTTCCACATATTTATCTATCGCTTTGTGCCGAGGTTTGTTGTTGAAAAGCTGAATCTTAATCTCATCTGACTAAAGCACGCAGATGGCATACCATACCCTACACCACGTCCTACAGGACGGAAAATACAATTTTTTTTGGCATCACTTCTGAAAAGAACTGATTGTCATGTTGACGACCTCTAATGGTTGCTATGGAGATTTAATAACCCTTAAGATGCCAGGTTTAGAGTCGATGCATTGAAATGGGTGTGAGGGAGCATGCACCAAACGCTTTGTTGCGGAGTCTGCTGTGCTCCTCTGAATTTTTTGTAAAAGCTCATTTCTGGAGAATTCCCCACCAACATGAGCGTCCACTAAAAAAGCCACGCCGCTTGCACTCAACGTGTACATTCAGAAACACTTGGGCTGCAGCTGCAGCTCTCTTTCAGCATTCTAGGATGATAGATTATGTTAGAAACTGGGTTCTAATTCAAATGTACTATAAATCGTACCTTAGGGCTTCCACTGACGACTTGGGGTGGTGATAGAAAATACAGGTAGTCTACCTAAAAGCCTACATAGCAGTCAAAATACATACACCGAAAGTAGGCGCATGATGATGAATATAGAAAATATAGACCAGTCACTGCATCTGTTCTATATTTTAGTTCTTCAGCACCACAGTGTGTGTTTATGCTTTGAATGTTAGTGGAGACTCCAGATTTTATTCCGCTTACACGCTGGTGTCCGATGCAGTAAAGCACCTCTTTTATTACAGTTGCGTCTTCAAACCTTACGTCACTGTAACCAGCTTGGATTTTGACCTAATTTTTTTCTGCTCACCGCCTAGAAAGTGATAAGGTTTGGACTTCACACGGCTTATCTCCCACTATTTAGGCCACCCGGCTGAAGTCAGCAGCTGCCCTTAATTCGTGAATTGCTTGTTGAGATCACTGACACCACGAATCACCAACCCGTGAGCACATCCTGCCGCTCCACGTTTTTGAACATTCGTCTCCGCACAATTATCCTCAACACATTCAGAGTTAAGTTGCATTTAAGTCAGTAGCCAACTTTTATTTTTACTTGAGAACCTAATTTTAGCCTGCCTTATCCATCTCAAAACAACGTTTGATGTATTTTTGGGATTACTGTCCTGTTTGAACGTCCAGTAGTGGCTAAGTTTCAAGCTTCAAGGACTCAAGCTTGTCAGAAGCTGAAAATTGCTGGAAACTCAGAGCTACTGTCCACATTGAAATGTAGATTGATTGTTTCGGCTGAAGCATGTCAATTACATGTTTTAGGAAAGGACAAAATGCAGAGTTTGAGATTAAATTTTGATTAATTTTGATTGCTTAACACAAACGGCCACTAGAGGGTGCTGTTGCTCTTTTTTTTTTACTGTACGTGCAACAACTGGGATCCAAATTCACTTGAATTTAAACAGCTAAACAGCAAGTTAGAGGTCCTGGTTGCGTGTATGTTTTTATTTTTTGAGTTTTATTTGTTTCTTTTGGCTCAAAATATTACAAAATGAGCAGAAAACAAATTATGTTTTCACTCTAATTCAGCTTTTATTTCCATGTTGTTTTTTTTTCAGATAGCTTTTCATCCTTTAAATATTTGCACATCTCTGTGTCATTACTGAAAGATAATGTTTTTGGTCAGTCTCAAGTGTATTTAATAATCAGCATGAAGAAGTACTTTTTTCACTTAATGGGGATTCTTGCATAAATTAAAGTACGATTAAATATTGTATACATATATTAGCTCTCAAAATCACAGGCTCACAGGCTAGACATTTTTAGACGAGTCTAAAAGAAAAAAAAAACTGCAGCTTTTCCAATGTGCCTAACTTATATTTTAGTTATAGGACGAATGCAAAAAAAGTGCATTGACTTTCTAGTGAAAAATAACTTAATTATTTCTGGTAAACATTGTACAAAACCAATTGCTCATTTCCCCCCTTTGGCTTTAGTGAAAACACCTCTTATTTTTATTTTTGGACTGGACTTTATGTTATCTTTAAGCTAAAAATAAAACAAAACAAGCAGCTTCCAACCCCATTCTACGTGGAATAAAGTTGTTCAGCTGAACTAAAACGAATACAGACATGAAAAGGAATTTTAAAATATTGAATCTGTCTTGTTAAGAAAAGCATATTCTAATATGTCGAACCATATCATAACGAGTTACAAAACAAGTGATGAATTTACCTTTCTGGCTAGAAGCAGTTGTCTATATTTCATTCTATGTGAAAATGGCTAAAAATGCATAATCTCTAAACTCACAATGATACTGTAACGAAATGTACTTTCACATTTACTCACAGATGGTGACATCAGTTGGTAGTCACAAATACTTCAGGGTCATAAACATTTCAAGACTCATACACGCACACAATCTCTGGGATTAAAGATGATTTCAACTCTGTTTATCACCCTTGTTTAAAAGTGAAATATGCAAAACGTCCAGCTTTCTGAGCTCCATATCACTAGCAACCGTTTTTCTATTATTAGCTACGTCAGCATTGAGATGATGGTAGGTCAGATGAACTGAAAACGTCATTCAGAACGCCTGCAATCGGAGTAGCTTTCTCCCCTGTCCTGTGTTTGTGGTTGGCTGCAAATATAAACAGTCGATCCGTACACACTCTTAGGTGTGTGTAGTAGCTCGTGCGCATCGATGTGCTGTTGTGTGATCAGTTTGTGTGCCGCTGCCGCTGATGGATTGGTTTAACGGCCCCGTTGTGTCCGTGAAGCTGCAGAGACGTGAGTGGTTCCTGAAACACACCAGTAGCACCGATAACGTCGGTCCTGGCTCCTGTTTAAAGTATCATCCCTCAGTCACCGTCACCTCTGCATGTGTAAATGAAATGTCAGTCTTTGCAAATGGCTGTTTATTTTAAGAGACTACCTCACACACACACACACATCCACGATTACATCTGTGCGTGCACACATGCACATCTTGTTGCTTAATGATGCTCTCAGGCTTCAGACACCCCCGTCTCCGTTTCTCTCTTTCTCTCTCTCTGTGTGTGTGTGTCTCTCCTCCTTACTCACAGCCTAGCCATGCTGACTGGAGTCTCCGTCAGCCAATGGTAGTGCAGCATCCCAGCGCTGCCATAAGCCAGTGCAGGGAGGAAGGGATTGACTGGAGAGACCAGAGCTCTGAAGGCAGATGAAACGCCAGGTCTCTTGTGAATTGGGGGATAACCAGTCTTGCCTTATGATGGGAACGGACACTCGCTCCACTTGAGGACATTGACGATCCGTTCCGCATCAGGAAGATAAAAAGCACTCCACCTTTTTGGGGTTTTGCTTTTGTATTTTGCCTCTCTGTTGTGGTGAGGGCTCAGCGCTGTCTACCTTCATGTGGAGAAAGAAGCTACTGGTGCGCTCTTCGACCCCTCTCTCCTCCTCATCCATCCTCTCTGGATCAGGTCTTTCGTGCTAGGGATCCACTTTCCAGGAATCTCAGTCCTCCATGTACGATAACCTCTACCTCCATGGCTTTGAAGACTCGGAGGCGGTAAGTGGACGGGGTCTGAGGGGCTGAGGGGACGGTCTGCGGCACAGAAGCCGAAACATTCTTATGTTGTCGTTGACTGGTTTGGACCTCGCAGAAACACCCACGAGACTCAAAGGGGAAGCAGAGGATGCATCTTTCTTTGGGAACGGAGGGATCGGGGGTGTTTAGGTGTGCCAGTTTTCCCACTTTGTACTTTCAACCAAATGACAGCTTCTCCTCCTGTCTATGGTTTTCAAGTCAATGCTGAAATCTCTAACATCTGGTAAAGCGGTTTGACTCTAGCTTTCCTTTTGATCCAAAGATAGAAGCATGGTTATCGATTTTTGGAAAACAACAAGGCATATGTGGGATATGGGTTATACTCATGTCTGAGAGTGGCAGAAAAATCCTCACAAAGGCAACAGAGAGGCGCTGGCGGCAGAAAAGGATGGGGGAATCCCGCCGAGGCAGAGCGTGCTGAGGCTCAGACCCTTCTGTAATCCCACCTGCCGCTCCGGCCGCATCCCGAACATGACAGGCAGAGGGAATGTGGCCCATTATCACCCAATACATACAGTACCTGTTTCTTAGAGACCTTTTATAGGTAGTCACACTTCTCATTTATTTTGGACTGGATTTTATGTCATTTTTAAGCCAAAAAACAAACAAGAGGTACAAAGATTTCTGGAGATACCAACCCCCAACGTGTTGGTTGCAGGGATCTGGAGGTAATTAATGGAGCATGCTTGAGGTGCTGCCTTTCCAGTTCAGGAGGCTAAAGACAGGATTTGGTGCTCTTTAGTAAATTTCTTGGGAAATAAGACTTTCCTTGTCTGTGAGGAGGCAGGGAAGCAACAACAGCTAATGAACAGGAAAATAATCCAGAGTTCCTTGTGAAGTTTTCATGTTAGACTTTGTCACTTACAAACCTTAGTGAATTTTAGAACCTCATCCATAGCATGATACGGCCACCATCATGTTTACCCTTGGGGATGGTTTGTTTAAGGTTTAAGGTTATTTTTGGTTTTCTCTGGACACACTCCTTTTCCTCAACTTGATTGATGCGACTTCTACACACTGTTGTTGCTTTACCTCTTTCACTGATAAAGACCAGAAATGTGGAGTTCACAGATTTTTCTTTCAAAGGTTTTGTTGGCTCTAGTTCTCTTTTTATAAGTAATGAGAAAGGGGGAAGACATGCAGCAAATGGGAATCGAACCTGCGACGGCCGCGTTGAGGACTAGGGCCTCCTTATGTGGGTTGTGTTTTACCCCTGCGCCACCACACATCACCCCAGATGATGTTTCCTTTTAATGTTCACTTTCACCATGGTGGCAAAATAAATACAGACCCTGCTCCGGCCTATTAAAAGTAACAGGCCTGTGTGTGACGTCATATTCATACCCCAAAGGAAACAGAAAATCATTGGTTACTAATTGATCAACCCAATCTGGAAACGCTTTTGTGTAATTTATCTTAAAGGGATTGTCAGGAATACCCCTAAATACGACACCAGTAGGTTTGTCACTGTCACTCTTTGTATTTGTGGCCCCAGCATCACAGTCCACATTCTTATTCTGAGGAGGAAACTGCAGATCGAGTTCAGCGTTATTGTAGGAAAATATACGTGGGGGTATTTGCACTACAAAGCGGTTCTACAGCCACTACTGCACTGACCCATACACAAACGCATGACTCATCTTTACAACAGCTATTATGTAAAATAGGAAGCCTGCTGCCCTCGCTGATAGTGGTTGTACTACGACTCGAGCTGCTGAGGTGCCTGTAGTGAGGCGGAGTGGCTGTTTTTAGGCCAGACCTGGAGACATTTGCGCCCTCTGACCTCCAGGCTGGTCATGATGGGAGCCGCCGGATGCGCCGCAGAAGGAATGCTTTCAGAGAGAGGAACGCCGAGCCGTGGCGTCTGCACAGATAAGGCTCGAGTGTGTCGGCCGACAGACTCAAGACCGCCCACTTGACTATCTTGAAGTCGACGATAGTTACGTTGGAAATGCTCCAAAGTGACATGCGCTCGGACTGACATCATCGCACTGATTCATGGGTAAACAGTCCCAGGAGTTTATCACGGCGCAAGGCAGGAAGGAGCTGTGAAGTTCGACCATGAGCAAACAGCAAAAGCCATTTGTATGTGTTAAAGCAAAAGTTAAAAAAAATCTTGACAAGTACCAGTATAGTGTTTATAAAAAGGTATTCAGCCCCTTTGATATTTTACCCTCTTATTGCTTTTGAAAATCAATTATGATCAACAAATGTTGGCTTTTTTAACAGAAAAAAAATTACAAAAAAAAACCTCCAGGTGAACCAATGAATGGACTTTAAGACAGAGGTGTCTTTATGCTTCAGTCACTTGAGACAAACTCACTGCACTCAGGTCTCCATACCACTCATTGTGAGCAAGCACCGTTTGTCTGGACCTCTGTTAAATTAGGTCAGTAGCTTTAAAGACGGTGAATATTTATGGAATAATTTATTTGGTGCTACTTTTTTTTTTAAATTGTCATTTTGTTGTAAAAAAAAAAATCAGACATTACAGGGGTTTTTTGTGTATTTTTTTTATAAAAGAAAAAAAAAACAACGTTTAATTGATGGTGATTAACTCGTAGAAACAATGAAAATGGTAAAACAGCCAGTGGGTGAACACTTTTTATAGGCGCTGCAATGAAGTAGTTGTTGTCTAAAAATAAAGCTGGCGATCGTCTGTAGTTGCCTGTAGCGTTGGGAGGGTGGGGAGCGAGGGGGTCAGGGGGGGTTATTTCTTCCTTTTTCTCTCCAGTCCTCCGGTCTATAGATTTCATTTGTAATGAGGCTGTAAATAACAGTTATTTGTATCAAGAAAAGACTCCCCTGGCTCTGAATGGATCATTAGCGGGGATGCCAAGAAGCCCCGAACCAAGGCATTAATTCTCCCTGTCCTTCCAGCCCGACCTGCTGGTTTTAAAGACTTACTGCTGCACACGTCCACTGTGGCGTTCATTTTTCATCGAGTTATTGTTCTGCCGGAGTTGTCATATTCTCACAAAGCCACGCATCCGGCTTTGAACAAGGCTTCCGCATTCAAAAAGGGGCACTTGTTGGAAAAAGAGGTGAGGAGGGGTCTAAAGTTATCCACTTTATTTGTCTGCAAACAGAAGAATACTGTCACAAACACAAACTCAGGACATTTGCCACTGAGGCTACGGCTTAGAAAGGGTTAACTTTATCGTGCAAACAAAACGTCTATTTTTCTTTCACGCCAAACATCCGTTCTGCTCAGAAAGACGATGATTTTAATATGGTTGGGACTGATAAGCAGGGCAGAATTTGAAGCAATGCACCATGCATTATTTCTGATGTGATAAACATTTGTTGTTTTTGTTTATATGTTTCCGTGGACAGAAAATTAAGCTGCACATTCCAACACTGAGACGTAATATGTCACTTTCACGAATGACCCAAAATAAATGGTCAGGCTGTACAAGATCTGTGTGTACTGGAGATTTTTGCTGAAGATTATAACAGATTTTTCTTTTACACATTTTTCTTTTTGTCTCAGAAAGGCAACTTTTCCCTCTTTTGTCAGCTTACAAGCACAAACTTCAGAGTATTTCGTCAGAACTTGATGTTATAGACAAACAAAGGAGCTACAGGGTGATGGAAGATTTTCCTCACTTTTCTTTCCAAAAACAGCTCAAACTAGGTTAGAATGGATGGAGAGTGGATGTGAGCATCAGCTTTCTAGTCTTAGCAATGTTTCGCAGTTATTTTAGAGGTCCATGCTTTGACTAAGCCATTCAAACACATAAATGGGCCTTGGTCTTAATAATTTGATTGTACTTTTGGCACATTCAGCAGGAATGTGAACTTCCATCCTATCCTCACGTGTTATGGAGCTTTTAACAGCATTTCTTCCACAGTATCCACGTATTTACCTCAACTCAGTTTCAATTCGTTTTATTGAGAGAGCGCCTATTTGCAGCAAATGTCACCAACAAATATGGTAAAAAAAAATCATTTGTAGTTATACCAAAACACACAATAAATACAATCAGTACAATCCAGTCATTCAGTGACACATTGTTCAGTCAGATCCAAAATGTAACGACTACTTTTCTCTATGGTTTGTACCAAACGTCTTAAGGGTTTTTTGTTTTTTCTCCGCTCTTTCGGAAAAAACAGATTTGTGGAGATCACTGCTCATAGTTTTTTTATTCAGTAATTCGCTAACCTGAGTCATGTTTGTAAAGGTTTACAGCTGTGTCAAACTGTTCAAGACTGCTGTCCTTTTCCTTTAATTTTCTTTTTTTTTTTTTTACGTAAAAATCAAAACATTAAATCTTGTGTGTTGTGTATTTCTGCTTTCAGCTATAGATATGTGCTTTTATTCATGTTTTATGATGAGCTGGGTATGTGGCTGCATGCACACAGGCAGCAGATGGTGCTATCATCTGTTAGGTGAGCTTTTTTGCTGCACTGCACTTTTTCAAACCATTTGGCTTAGGAGGCAGGATGCTGAACATCCACCATACGGAAACCAGAATCCACCTGGTCTGATGGGCCAGAAGGAGAACCAGAAAACCTAGCCTCATGAGTTTTTGCTGTGTTTGTTTGTTTTAATCTTTCAAACTACCATGACTTTAGAGAAAATGAGTTTACCCTTTTAGTCAAAAAACAGAAAACTGACAAACAGCTTTGTTGCTGCTCTTTAACCAGCTGAATGGTATGTATCTCAGCAATGTTTAAGCAATTTGGAAACAGCCATCTGTTCCCAACTGTCTTCACCATCACACACACACACACACACACACACACCCACACACACACACACACACACACACACACACACACACACGCTGTCTGCTTGTGTGACTGCATCAAGCGTCACAAAATCCACATTCAGGCATGTGACTGGAACATGACATAATTTTCACTGTCTAATGGCTCCAGCATCGGATACTTGGGAAGAAAGAGATGCACTCTCATCGGTGAAGATCACATTTCTTAAAGACTTTGTGACACTGATA